AAAAATTAAATTTTTGAATCTAAGTATTAAATTTTAGTTGAAATTATTTAACAGAATTTGAATATTTTATGTAACTAAAATTAAAAGAAAATGTTCGATAATATTTGATTACTATTTTCTAGAAATAGATAATCATTATCAAATTTTATATGAACTATAAGTTCAAATTAGGAAATTAACAAGTCATATATGATTTACAATAATCAATATTAAAATTCTTATTGTTGTTTTAATGAATTTTTGAAATAATTATTTAAAAATTATTTGACATAATTTTTAAATTTTTCTATGTCTAATAATCATTTTACAAAAATTATTATTATAATTTTTATAAATTTTTTATCTTGTTTTTGCTTTAGTTTTTCTTTTTGACTTTGGCTTTTTCCTATAACAAAGAATAAAAAGGTATGTATATTTTTCAGTAACTATAAGCTTTTTGCTAGTTGAGTTATACTGTGAGCTTAGGTCAGTATAATTCAATTATTTTTGTTTTAGACTATGAGTTTTGACTAGTCTTCTACTTGAGTGAGTTTTTGTCTCAGTAGATATTTTTTCTTTTAATATTTTTTTCTTTTTAGAATAAGTAGTACTACTTGTTTTTTAATCCTTGCAGTTTCAAGTTTTAAGGTTTCTGAGTTTAGTCAAGAAGATAAAAGACTTATATCAACTAGTATAATAAATAATGAACCTTATTTATTATATTCCTTGGATAAGTTTCCTACTAATATATAGATAGATTTTTGTTGTCTTTTTGTTTTTATTTGAGTATATATACTTAGAAAATCATCATTTCCTAATTTTTCATTATTTTATTTCAGATGTCAAAAATTTTAAAAGAAGAGTTAGTTCAAAAAAAACTTGTAGCTCAAGAAGTAAAGATATAAGAGCTTCAAGAAGAAGTCCTAAAGTTACAAGAAGAGGTGAAACAACTTAAAAAAGAAAATAAGACTTTATGATATTAAAAATCAAGATTAAATCTAGAAAAAGAGAAGAAAGAAATTTGAAAAGAGGTTTGTTTAGTTTCAAAAAATAGTTTAGATTAGGCTCCTGTAGAGTGAGTTTTAAATAAAGAGTGAGTTAAAAAAAATCTAGAAATAAATTTAAATAGTTTACTAAAGGAAAAATAATTTTTATAAATAAAATTCACTAGTTGAAAAGATGAAATTTGACCTCTAATCAGAGGTTGAATTTCAAATTTTTAGTCAAATTCAGGTCGAATCAGTCAAAAAATTTAACCTATAATCAACCTATAATTAATCTAAAAACTACTAATTAGCTTAAAATTAGTATCTGATTTTAGATTGAATAGTTAATTTTAAAATTTAATCTAAAATCAGACTTTGAATTTAGGTCAAATTTTATACATATTCGACCTAAAATCAACCTCTAAATTTTGAGGTTAATTTTAGATCGAATGTGTATAAAATTCAACCTAAATTCAGAGTCTGATTTTAGGTTGAATTTTAAAATTAACTATTCAATCTAAAATCGAATGCTGATTTTAAGCTAATTAGATCAATTATTGGTTGATTATAGGTCGAATTTTTTGGCTGATTCGACCTGAATTCGACCAAAAATTTGAAATTCAACCTCCGATTAAAGGTCGAATTTCACCTTTTCAACCAGTGATAATATGCTTTAAAAAACTTTTATTATATGAAACCACAAGTTGCCAATTGACGATATGGTTTTTTATAGTAAGGGTTACTTTAAAAAATTTTTTTTATGTTATATAACTCAGAGATCTTCATGCCAATCAAATCGAATGTCCACAATGCTTTTATTTATATAATTTTTATAATACAATGGCAATTAATTAACAAAACTATTTACTCCAAAGTCACCAATAATTCAGAAAACGATGGTTGTATCAATGCAGTTCTTCTAATTGGTTGTTGGTTTGTTAATGTAAAGAAGAGTTGCGAATATATAAAATAATAGATTAGCAATGCGGTTAATGAAATTTGTATAAATGCTACGTAAATTGACTACGTACACAGAGGCGTTTCGGAGTTCTTGATTAAATGTGGTGTAACAGTTATTCTCTAGAGTCTTCTAGATAAAATCAATCAGTCACATGATTTATGCTGTATGGGAAATTTTCTAGAAAGTCCTTTTTTTTTTTTTTTTTTTTAATTATAAAGGTTGCCAAACAAAATTTAAAAAGTTAAAATCTTTTTTGGAATAAAAATGAGTGTAAGTACATTTATTATCATGACTCTAGTTTGAAAAATTGTTTATTCACCAATATATATCAAAGGTCACGCCATTTCAAAAGCCGTGTTATGGCCGAGGCATTTTTGCATTCTTGTGAGTTTGCAAAAACGAAAAATTAGAAATGCTCACTATGATACCGGTGTTTTTAGGCTGATGAATACAAGAATTTAGGCAATAAAGCCTTTTCCGCGAAAGAATATGAAGAAGCGATAGAATTATTCTCTAAAGCCATTGATTTAGATCCTTCAAACCACGTGCTCTACTCGAACAGGTCTGCGTCTTATGCTTCTCTAAAGAAATATGACAAAGCTTTGGAAGACGCAAGTAAGACTGTTGAGTTGAAGAGTGATTGGGCAAAGGTAACGAATCATTTTTATTCAAATAATTCCTTATAATCGGAAAAATGAATTGAATTATTGAATTTATTTGGTTGAAAATTAGGGTTATAACAGAAAAGGAGCTGCTCTTCATGGTCTCGGTAAATTAGATGAAGCGCGTGAGACATATAAAGAAGGACTTAAAATTGAACCTGACAATGCTCAGCTCAAGAAAGCACTCGAAGATCTTGAACATGCTGACAGTTAGTTTTGAACAATATACATTCTTTCATGTTTTAAATTAGGGGAATTTCAAATAAGGGCTCAAAAATGTAAAATAATTACATATAAGGGTCCAAAGTCAAAATAATTACATATAAGGGTCCAATATTTAAAAAATATTACAAATAGGGCTCACTTTGACGAATTTTACAATATCTCGCGATACAGTGAACGAAATTTAATAATTTTGATACCATTCGAACCATCTCATCGAATAGTACTAAAATCACTAAATTTTAACTACAGAATAACGAGATATTACATTTAAACAAATTTTATAAAAATTTAAATATCTTGTATTTCAGTAATTGAAATTTAGCGATTTTGGTATCATTCGATGTGTATCTATAAGACGGTTTGAATGGTACCAAAATCGTTAAATTTGGTTCGAAAAAGCAGTTTAGTACAGAACTAAAAAATATTTTTTTGAATTTCGTACTAAACTGCACTTTAAAATGTTTTTAGAATCTAGTGAATAAAATTTAACAATTTTGGTACCATTCAAATCAAGACGAATCGAATGATACCAAAATCAATAAATTTCAATTATTGGGTTACAAGATATTCGAACTTTTCTAAAATCTGTTTAAATCGTAATATCTCATTATCCTGTAATTAAAATTTGCTGATTTTAGTATTATCGATCCGTCTCGATGAGACGGTTAAAATTGTTAAATTTTGTTCACGGATATTTAAAATATGATAAAATGAGCCTCTATTTGTAATCAATTTAATTTTGGGCCCTTACATGTAATTATTTTATATTTGAGCCCTTATTTGTAAATTCTCCTTTAAATTAAAACTTTATAATAAAAAAAAATATATTTTTATTATTTTAGAATATCAATCAATGGATTCTCAATTTAAAATCTTTAACGATGATGCTCTTGTAAGAATCGCCATGAATCCGAAATTGAGAGCTTATCTTGATCAGCCAGATTTTGTTGAGAAAATTAAGGCAATACAAGCCGATCCAAATCAACTTCAATTGTATTTATAATATTTATAATAATTTTTTTTTTTTAATTTTTGAATTTAATTATTCAAAACGTAAACTCATTCGTCTCTTTTTAAGACATATGCAGGATAATCGTGTAAAAGAAGCGTTAATGTATATATTGACAGGAGGAACGAATTTTCAAACACCTCAAGAAACGGAAAAACCAGCAGAGCCTGAACCAAAGACTCGTGATGTTCCCGAACCAGAACCAGAACCAGAACCGGAAACTGTGGAAAAATCCGAAGAAGATCTTAAGAAAGAAGAAGCTGACAAAGAGAAAGCTCTTGGTAATGATGCATATAAAAAACGAGAATTCGAAAAAGCGTTGCGACATTATGACAAGGCTTGGGAATTAGATCCTACTAATGTTTCTATTCTGACTAACAAGGCTGGTGAGTCAAGATTTTACATTTTATTATTTGAGATTGTTTAATATAATAATATAATTAAGGAGTAGTAATAATTTGACGTAATTTGTAGCTGTATTATTTGAGCAAGAAAATTATGAAGAATGCATTAAAATTTGTGAAGAAGCCGTTGACGTTGGTCGTGAGCATCGCGCGGACTTTAAATTGATTGCTCGGTAATAATAAATTAATATATTCGATTTGTTAATTAAGTTCACAAATTAGTCAACTCAACTTTTTATAATTTAAAATATAAAAGTGCCTATGGAAGAATCGGCAATGCTTATGTTAAACTCAATAAACTGGATGAAGCAATTAAATATTATGGCAAATCGTTAGCAGAACATAGAACACCCGAAATACTTACTAAATCTAATGAAATTAAAAAGTTGAAAGTCAAACTTGAAAAGGAAGCGTATTATAATCCAGAGCTTTCTGAAAAAGCTCGAGAAGAAGGAAATGAACTTTTCAAGAAAAATAACTTTGCAGGTGCTGTGGAACGATACACAGAAGCGATTAAGCGTAACGAGAATGATCCGAAATCTTATAGCAATCGCGCAGCTTGTTATACAAAATTAATGGCATTCCAAGAAGCATTGAAAGATTGCGAGACTTGTATCAAGCTTGATCCTACATTTGGTAACGTATTCATGTTTATCATGTTTATATTCCATATTGATATAATATATTTTAATAATTTTTATTACAGTCAAAGCCTATATTAGGAAAGCAGCAGTAGAGTTTTTGAAGAAAGAATATTCAAAATGTTTGGAAACTTGTAGAACTGCGACTAAATATGATACAGAAAAAAAACATGCGTCAGAAATTCAAGCTCAGATGAGAAAATGCCATGAATCAATGTATCAAAGTAGTGACACACCAGAAAGTGCAGAAGAGGCAATTCGCAAGGCCGCTAGTGATCCGGAAATTATGGTATGTACATGAAATTATAAATTTAGCAATTTGAAACGGTTTGTATTTTTTAAACTAAAATATAAAATTTTAATTTACTTAGAAAATCCTTCAAGATCCTGTTATGCAACAGATTTTACAACAAAGTCAAGACGACCCACGTGCCTTCAGAGAGTATGGATATGTCTAGTTTAATAGGCGCAATTTAATTATACTAAAAATTAATATTGCATTTTATTTTATTTTATAGGCATCTTAAAAATCCTACTGTGGCAGCCAATATTGAAAAATTGATGAATGCTGGTGTTTTAAGAACTTCTTAAACCCTTTTTTTAACGTTAATATATCCAATGTAATAAGTATCTGCATCTAGGCAGGATATTTTATTTTTACTGTGAAGTTATAAAAGTTACATATATTTTAAATCAATTCTTGTAAATTTGTTATAATAAAAATGTATATTATTTACATTATGCTCGTAATATTATAATAAATTGTTTATAATTATGTAAATTTATTTGTTTTTACGTTAAAGAAACAAACAATTCGATTTTTTTAATGGTCTTCTTAAGAGTCCCGAATTGAACTAAATAGGATGCACTATAATATATGGTTTCCATACATCGGAGGTATGGAGTAGTGTGACTATATATGCCAGATTATTATAAAAGTCAAATGGAGTAGTTTATAAGTACTATAGTGTTACTGCGTATTATCATACTACTCCGGATTAGAAATATATACAATACATAACAGAAATCTAGAGTACAGAAGTAGTAACTATAGTTTAATTTGGTTTTGAGAGATACTCCCCCTAATCGGATGACGAATTCATTCGATCCGAATACCAGGCAAGAATTTTATGTTACTCGCCTTAATAAACATTTGAAAATCACCAGTATTGTACAAGTATCTCTTAATACAGTACGTTACGCAGCCTGCAAAATATCAGATATAGTAAATAGCAAATACGTCATATGTAGATACGAAGAGATAATACTACGTAACTATTAATTGATAATTTCTCACAACTTGCTTTTAGACTCTACTTGTTAAATTAGATCGAAATGCAAACCTTCTTAGGTTTTTGGCTAGTTCGCATATTCATTCTTATAGCATTAGGACAGTTCCTTAGTTGCACCGCTTTTAATTGTTCGTCCGGTGTAAGAATCGGAAAGAGGATATTTGACCTTTCCTCACTAGACCAGTTAAGTTTTGAAGGTCTTTCAAAATTAGTTGATCGTGACCTATCACGCAATCCGAGAAAACCATTCATAGCTTTCTTTAGAGTTTTTTTACAAATTGTTATGCGTTTATTTCATCCCTTTCTACTTGTGTCTAACTGTTCTTAAATAATAGGAAGTGGACATACAGTAATACAACAACGACATACCCTACGCAAAAGATTACAACATATTATATAAATATTTGTAAGGCATTAACT